ACAAAACCTCCAACCCAAATACAAAAATGATAATACTAATAATAGATGTTATCTTTAAAGTTTTAAAAATACATAAGCAAAAATATAGGCTTCTTTCCTTTCAAGCACAAAAGTAATGAAGGTAAGCACATTTTGGCCACAGACAAATCTAAAATGTAGTTTGGTCCACAGCATTGGTGTCTTATGTATACACAAGACTATTCGGGAGTATTCATTAATTCAAGTCTTGTGTATAAAAGAATCTCAACATTCACTGACTGGATTTATAGACAGACACTAAAATGCCAAGGGAGTCTCTGAATTCTTCTGGTTCCCATCTCTGAATGTCAGATAACAACACGATTCAAGAACAGCTTCCTAGAATCACTGAATCCCCCAGATTCAACTTCCCACCAGCTAAAAATGTCTCACATTGCAAAAGTTTTACAATGTAATTTCATTACAGCATTGACATCATTTTCTTTGGACAATCATTCTGTAGGGAAAAGCCTGTGTTTTCATTGCCATGTTTTGTGTGAAGTACATCAATTTTAAAACTGTTTAATTATTTCTTTAATGGCACTATCATGTTATTTTTTATTTTTATTAGAGGTTTGAAGTTGATATTTTGCTCTTAAAATTTTTTTCAGAACAATCTAAGCATGGCTTGAGAAGACTCTTGGGGTACAACTTGAACTGGATAATTTAGAAAAAGTTCAAAATACTAAAAACATGCAAATGTACATTGTGTAAAATGGAAAGAAAAATGAATCAAGCTTTTGATTTTCCCTGTGGGAAATAACTTTAATTTTACGAGCAAAGTCTCTTGCTGGTTTACTTCAGGGAAAGATTTTACCTGATTTTTCTAAAAAGACAGACATTTTAAGACAGGAAGTTGGATCATAATCAGCAAACTGGCAAGGTCGGGTTGACTTGGTGGTAATCAGTGAGGTCTTTGTTTAAAGCTACTGATGAATAAATTTCTTTTTTCGTGTCAGGAAGAGTCAGAGCCTGAGGCTTTGAGCAGCTGTAGAGCATTTGACATGATCTTTCCTTTTTCCGTGAGGAATTATCAGATGGCATTAACTCCAAAGTTTTCTTTTCAAGAAAGAACTTTTGTCCACAAAGGCAGTGAGATTTCACCACACATCTTGAGATTTCATCTGCATTATGATTTTTTTTTTACTTACTTCTATGTTTAATCTTTCCTTAAATTCCTTGGTTATTTGAAGAAAGGGATTAGGGTGACTCATTTGTAGAACATGCTGTTACTGCTGATGTACATTGTTCTTAACACCAAAGAGCCATGGACACTTTAAGGTAGGGGACTGAAAAAAGTCTAGATTGAACTGTTCTAGGGGTCTTAGGAGGTGGTGCTCACTGCTGTTGCAGAGAACCTGGTTTCCATTCTCAACACGGATGGAGTCTTATCTGAATCAATATAACTAACACCAAGGGTACAAATACCACTAGTTAGGGATGTGGGGGAGGGAGACCCTATTCACTGCTGGTGGAAGTTAAACTGGTATCTTCACTGTGCACATGAGTACACAGAAAACTAAAATCAGGACTACCACATGACCCAAATGTGCCACTCCTGAGTATATTGGAAAAGACTGCACATCATACCACAGAGATACATCTGTGTTTAATACTGCTCTGTTCATAGTAGATAACCAATAAAACACTCTAAGTGCCCATCAATAGCTGAAATGATAGAGAATATGGTACATACGCACAATGTTATTCTTTTCATCCATGAAGAAAACTAGTCATGGCATTTGCAAAGACAACAGGTGGAACTAGTATTTATTGTTGAGCAAAAAATGCTGTGATCCAGAAAGGCAAATATCACCTTTTTTCTGACACGTGGATCCTAGATCTTAATCTTTATGGAGAATGTGTGAATTTTCTATACACAGAAGAGAGTGTGTGCCATAAAACTGGAAAGGGCAAATGAGAGTGGAGAGAGATCTTAGAGAATTATAGAACATGTGTGACATGAAAGCAGAACAGGGGCATTGTAGGGAGGGTGGAGACCAGTGGGAAGGAGAGAAGGAGATAGGAAAGGGAGACCCAAGTAGGAATCAGGAGAGGATCAGCAAGAACAGTGAACTATGAAAAACCATAGTGAAACTCCTTACTTTGTATAATAATTTTAAATGACTAGTTTGGAGGACAGGAAAGTATCACTCCTTATGTTATGTAATTTCCTATTCTGTGATTTCAGTAGCTACAAAAATAAAATCATAATCAAGTTCTATGCAATAGAAATTTTGTTTTCTTTCACTGGATGCTATTGTTTGTTTGGTTTTGGTTTTGATTATTTTTGAAATTGTAATTTAATTATATTTCTCCCTCCAAAGTTTCCCATAGTCCCCTTCCCACTCTCCTTCAAATGCTTTGTAGAGGAATTATAACAGTAACAGTACACAGAATAAGGACAGTGTTGGTTATTTATTGTGGGAAATTACTTGCACGAGAAACCTAAAACCCAGGTTAGTTTCTGCAGCCTTTTGAGACCCAACCAGAACCCCAAAAGAGAGAGCACCCCCTCTCTCAGGCCTTTATTCTGAAAGCCCTGTGTGCAACTGTAGCCATGCCCAAAACGGGCGTGGTTAGTAGCACAGGTTCGCAGATCTCTCCCTACAATGCATGGCCCTTTTTTATTGTCATTGCATGCATATTTGTATAAACATGCATATTCCCAAATATAACCTGTTGAGTTCAAGGATGAAAACAATAGGCATGACAAAATAGATGGAGAAAAGCTCATGAGGCCTCAGCCCTGAACAAAGATCTACTATGTGCAACTGAGAGGAGCAGAGAGCAGGAGAAGTGGTCCTTCCCAGGGAAAAACACACCAATTAGTTGTCCAATATCAAATAGTCATCCCTCAAAACATACATACAAGTAACACTGGCTGTTTTATAGGATGGCATAGTCACTATTCAACATCTAGGGAACCTTAAGCTGTGATACTGTGTTGACATCAGTGTGGTAAAAAGAATGACAGGGCCAGTTTCTGTGCCCAAGATTTGGATAAAAGAGATGTTATGGGATTCGACATTAAAAATGGACACTCAGATAAGTTTTCATTTTCCTACACCATGTTGGCTTTTTATATGAAATATCGCAACTAACCTTTAACTTCCTAACTCAATTAGGAAGAGGGGGACAGTGACTGTGAACTTGTTCTCATCCAACACCGGCTACCACAAGACATAGAAGTCAGTGCTCTTTGGCTTTGTTTTTACTTAAGAAATAAATACAAAATACACATGTGCTGTCATACATCTTTCTTTTTAAGGTTGGTAGATCACTGGGTTTCAATTCCTCTAACTTCCTGCACTAGCTATGTGAGCAACTGCCTTGCTTCCTCTAGTTCTCTAGGGAGACAGCTTATTTTAAGATTGTTAGTCCTCTCCTCAAAACTCCTGCTTCTGGAGACGAGTGTAGACACCTGTAAGGAAGTAGCAGAAACTGAATTATGTACTCTCCCAGCCTGCCACTGGGTCATTATGTAGATTTTAAAGGATTTTTAATTTATATTCAGTTCTTGTATTTTGAATAGCTATACAGCAATATTTCTAATGAAGTTTAGTAACCATTCTCAACACCTGGGTAAATTATTAAATTATTGAAGGTCTAAGAATTTTTTTCCTTCTATGTGTTTGATTCAGGTACATGGGTATGCATGTATATGTGTGATTCAGGCACATGTGTGCAGTACTCATGTGACATCAGAAGACCTCAGAGGTCAGTCCTCACCATCCCCTTGTTTGACACAGTGTCCCTTAGCTATTACCCACATGCTTCCAGGGGTGCTCCTTTCTCTGCCTCCCATTTTGTCCCAGCTGGGGTTACAGACTCACTATCACTCCCAGCCCTACATGGGTCCTGGAGGTTCCAGCAGAATCTTAACACTACAGGGCAAGGGTTTTCTCAGGTGGGCCATCTCTCCAGCCGAGGGCTAAGCTTTTAATTCACTTCTTGGAATTATGAAAGGTTTGTCTCACCCAGGAAGAAAACCTTCTAAAATATGAAAATGGGAGTAATAAAGAATTCAAGGACTATAAATCTTTGAACAAGAATTCACTTTAATCCAGAAACTAATAGAACTCTGAGTTTATAGACAGAAATGGTGACATTTTCAAACAGTACGATTTACTGAACTAGAGTTTTATGGGACCAGGAATTTTTGTATTATATGATAATTATTGACAGTTCATTGTGATTTAATCAATGCACATTTCTCTAGGAAATTCTTAATGATACATTCAGACTAGACTTTTAATATTAAACTTATAATTTGATTTCCACTTTAAAGCTTTCAAAATTCTTTCCTAGTAGTAATATCCCATATTTGTAAATTACACAATGTATTCCTATAATTGTGGCATCAACTATAACATTCTTTGTAGTATATCTTCTTCAGTTCTCTCTCTCTGTCTCTCTCTCTCTCTCTCTCTCTCTCTCTCTCTCTCTCTCTCTCTCTCTCTCTCTCTCTCTCTCTCTCTCTCTCTCTCTCTCTCTCTCTCTCCAGTATCTAGCTACATGTTCCTGGCTGTTCTGGACATGATTTATAAACCAGGCTGATCTCAGACTTGGAGAGGTCCCCTGCCTCTGCCTTTCTAGTACTGGGATTAAAGTGTGCACCACCACACCCAGTTTCTTTAGACTTCTAAGCCATGACCTTTATATTTGAAACACCGTCGACAGTAACCTTTTAAACAGACTAAGCTCAATAGATTTGCTCTTTCAATAGCTTCACTGTCAGAATGTGTTTTTGTACAAATATCTCATATGCTCTCTCCTATGACTTGAGTCCAATAACTATCATGTGGAAGTAAACGCATATTGATCACAGCTTTGGCTCTATCATCAAAGTTGGAGTAAAAAGTCCATAAGTTCTAGATTTTAAGTTACATTTTCTAATATAGCCTGACAAAAGCAAGCTAGGGATCCTTGGGTGAGTGGTGTTCTCTGGGAGAACTCATGCTCTCTGTGTCCTTCCTCAGGATCTGTCACTGTGAAGGAGATGAAGAGAGCCCACTCATCACACCCTGTCGCTGCACAGGAACCTTGCGCTTTGTCCACCAGTCCTGTCTCCACCAGTGGATCAAGAGCTCAGACACACGATGCTGTGAGCTCTGCAAATATGACTTCATAATGGAGACCAAGCTCAAGCCCCTTCGGAAGGTACAGTGAGGGTTGGGCAGAATAGGGATGGGAGAAGGAACTTGCGAAGCAGTCTTGCTTTCAAATGTAACTTCCTGCTTGATAAAATTCTGCCAACATACTAAAGTTCATGGAGGATGCTTGTTCTATAGTGGACTCGATGGATAAAATACAGCCATGCCTTTAGAGGTAAATCAGTTTGTTCTGTCTTTAAAGGTGGATATATATGTAAATGCATAGAGAAACACATATTAACTGTGTATATATGAAAAATACAATTATAATTCAAGGTAATTGAATTGATGAGAAGCGTGAGAATGTTCATCTGTTGAGGTCAGTTCCCACAGATAGATGGTAGAATTCACTAAATAACATGAACTCATTTAACTTTTTAAAAGGTGACTATTAGATAGTAAGAGAATGATTTATTCTATAAGACATGGCCTAATTTCTTTTAATGTTTGGTCCAATATTTTATTTAACACTAGAGGGAGTAGAAAGAAAAGCCACTATTGTCTATAATGTTCATCAAGATGCAAGAGAAATAGAAGTGCGTTTTTAAGCTATAAAATTTGCTGGGCATTTGTGGCGCATGCCTTTAATCCCAGCACTTGGGAGGCAGAGGCAGGCAGCTCTCTGTGAGTTCGAGGCCAGCCCAGTCTCCAGAGCAAGTGCCAGGATAGGCTCCAAAGATACACAGAGAAACCCTGTCTCAAAAAACCAAAAAAAAAAAATTATCTTCAAAGCCTTCATTTGTGTTAATTCTTTTCTAGAACATGATAGTGACTGTGAGCCAAGTATAAAGCTAAAGCTTTGGTCAGAGTCACCAATAGAAGAACACTTGTCACGGACACATGTGATGGTGATGTGCTGTGTATAATTCATTCTCAAACCCAGGAATTTACCATTTAACTTATTCATCTTTTTGCCTCCTAACTGCAGCTCTCTCTCTCTCTCACACACACACACACACACACACACACACACACACACACACATATATATATATATATATCATATCTGTGTGTATAGATGCCTCTAAACCCAAAAGGAGCTTGGGGATTGCAATTTAAATAATGAATCAGCCCAGAGGGGTTTTTCTATTTAAATTAAATGCAGATCTAAAGCAGATAGAAAGAACAATGTGTGGAAATAAACAAGATGAGCTTGAGAATGAGAAGAGATGAAGGCAAACAAAAATATTTCCCTAGGCATCTAATGGGGGTTAGCCATGTAGTCATTGTAACTCTCCATTCATGCTTTAAATTATGGGGAGGGAAAGTACCATGCCTTATTTTTGTAGTAGACTTTTTTTTAAATTCGTAAATGGTTTATAGATCTCAAAACTATATATAAACTACCTTCGGGGAGATGCATTTTTTAATGGGTTGACTTGGATGCTGAAAGTTGACTCTCTGCCTCTGGCCCCCAGAGCAATCATTGCAGAAGTAGAACACGATGGGTACTCGCACTCTTGTTTTATGCTAAGCTGACACTATACTGAAGGAACCGAATGAAGTGCTCATGATTCTTCGAACTTATCTTCTTGTCCCTCAGGGAATTACAAGTTGTTTCACAGCATCTGCCCATCCCTTTCCCATCCCCTACCCACACAAAAATTTCATTCCAACTTAGTTGAACATAGTATTTGAAGTATTTGAATTTGAAAGCAAGAATCTATAAAAACATACTCAAGTTGTCTCTTTTGTATTAAGCCTTCCAACTCTCTCTCTCTCTCTCTCTCTCTCTCTCTCTCTCTCTCTCTCTCACACACACACACACACACACACACACACACACACACACATATTTGGGAAGGCATAACACATTAAACATGTAAATGAGGAAGAACTCAAACCTATCCTAGTAGAATAACTCTTTAAATAAACCTAGATCTTTTCTTAATATGTGGTTATCAGTAACTTACAACTAATCTCTCTGTAATTGGAAACTAACAATGAAGCCTCATGGGAAAGTACAGTAACCTATGAGTTTTGTCCATAAAAGCCCAACAACACATGTCTCAGAACCACTCAGATGGGATATTTTCAGGGAGTGGCCCTAACCAAACTCCATATTGATCAGTATTTAGTATTTTAATAAAGCTGTTTTAATTTGGCCCAAAATGGGAGAACTGGCTTTTCTTCTGCAAATCTTGGTATTAACAATAACCAGAAGAAGAAAGTACATCTGCTTATATCTATCCCAATGAACATGTTGCTGCAACTCAACAGGAGCCTATCTGCTTATTAATGAAGTAGCATAATTTCTTTACAAATAAGAAACATTTCTTTTGACCATAGTATTGACTAAAGACACTTTTAAATACACTTCATATTTGATAGCGTAATCTGTACTGGGAGGGTTGGCATCTACCATAGATATGGCTCCTTAGCAGCCTACAGATGTGTTTTTACCTAAGTCATTAAACTTGAATATTAGTTGTCAATCTTTAACTGTGTTATTTGAGGTAATATTTCAGACACTAAAATTTGTAAACCACAAAACCTGGCTTGACTGGAACCATATTCCTGCATGACTACAGAGTTGGGGATAAGATGGGATTGGAATGTTACCCCTGCAATTTGCTTTCAAGTTCTTTGCGTTTCTCACCCCTCATGTGATCTTGAGGTCCCCACACATGACACCTCTATTTGCACAGCTGAGGCTTGGAAGGAGGATGTGAATATTCAATTCCTATGTAAGGCAGCATTCATAGACATGAGGAATGAATATATCCTATCCATTCTTCCAGGATGTTCAAAACCTAGGGGAAGTATTTTAAATTCTCATTCTCCTCTCTTTAAAAATCTGAGGCACAGCCAACATATATAGGAGGCAGTGTCCTCAACATCATTTTAGATTGTGAGGCAGTTCAAAACAACACGTAAAAAGAATTTGAAACTGTTCTACATGATTTGTTTTGAAGGGATGGAAGTTCACCAATGCATTCTTTAGGTAGTTTTTAAGTATTCATCAAGAATGTCAGGTATAACGTTTGGTGAGAATATATTTGAAGTAATCCAATTAATTGCTCTCAACTCAGTAATTCTATTACATTTTACAACATTCTAAATACCAAGCACATGAAACAATTAATTTAGCTAATGATCCTGGATCTCTACCATCAGCAAATGGAGGTGGGGAACTATGATTGTCTGAGATGACTTCTTCAGAGAAAGTACCGGTCTTCATAGGCTGATGGAGCTTGGGGCTTAACTCTGTACAGATACCAGTAAAGCCTTACCTCATTGATTGCCATTACTACAGCAAAAATTACAGTTAGCAAAGTCATCAAGGTAGCCTAATGTTTGCAGAAGAAAATCTTTAAAGTAAAAATAAAATCGAGGGTTTATTCCAAGGAAAGCAAATCCCCATCATCTTTAAGTCAGTAGCTCAGCTACTTTTATGACAATCAATAAAAGTCCCATTAACTTGCTTAGTTACCTGGGGCCAGGAGAAATTCTCGGAGCCCAGGAAAGTAAAATTTAAAAACTAATAAAACACAAATAAAGAAAGCACAGTGATGAGCTAGTGAAATTTGGAAAGGTACACACTGTTGATTAGGAAGCATAGATTAATTTACATTCTGAAGCTAAAGTCTGGGATTCTAATCTGAATCTTCCTGAATGAGAAGCCAGTTGCTGACATATAGAAGGTACACAAAGGCAGCAAGTACTACTGACAACGTATGTCCTACCCTAAAATATTTGTGCATATAAACTACATAATAAATATAGACTGTATCTAATTACTTTTTGTCTCATTTAACTAATTCAACCCATGTTAAGCCTGTCCTGAGGAACTACATGGATCTCATTTAACACAAGAAGAAAAGAGTCACCATATCAAACTTAACTTACACACTGCAAAGATCTTTGAACCCACTGTATGATGGTCAAATAGCTCCTAGGTTCTCTTTAAGGATCATAACATTTGTTTTTCTGGGTATGGGGAGGCACAAGAAGCTGAGGCCAAAGGATCAGGTGATTAATGCCACCTTGAGTGACACAGAAAGATCTTTTCCTCAAAAGACTAAGTGATGGAATGTCTTCGATTTTTGCCTAAACTTTTGCTAATTGAAATGTTTCAAAAGAATTCTAAAACAAGTTTTCCTAGAATCTTCCTCCTTAAATCTGGAGGAAACACTTTAGGGGGTATCCTTTTCCCAATAACTTAGTTACATTGTTATGTGCACAGCAATCATTTTTCAGCCAAACACTGAATGCAGAAATTGAAAACTTTGTGTTATCTTCACTGTGTTTTACCCCAGTTTTTTAAAGGTGTTTTCTGAGCCCATCAGTCTGCCTTGTGTTCTTTCCTCCTTGCTGTCAGCAGTTAACACAGTTTCTCTGTTCCTGGGATAACCTTAGTCAGCACTGCACACAGTTCTTTCCTAATGTCAAGATCAGTAGCAGAGCCAAGGGAGCTGCCCTACTGGGGTTCCCAAAGGCTGGATTCAGCTCTGGTGGCCTTCTCCATGATGCTCCTTTATGGCCAGCAGAATTTTGTGTGCAGAGACATGAGGACCTCATTCTGGGGTTCGCAGACTTCCTTTTCTCATCCTTTTCAGTTCTCAGTTTTACACAAGATCCTGACATCACAGGATGAGAAAGGCCTCAGCCAATGGAGCTATGTTGCTTCTTGTCATTGAGCTCAGGTTTGGAAACTTTCTATTCCTTTTCTTTACAAGCATACAAGGCCATAGGTTTCCATCCTAGTACAGAGTGCAGACAGAACTTTCTCCAGCTTGCTCGTAATGATCTTAATTCTCAATGCATACATGTTCTCCTGTTGATTTACACTTAGTTTCAGATACCATAATAACACCTCGACATGAAACCTAAGAGGCTCAAAAGACTGTTTTCCAGCCAGACTGTCTCATTGCCACATGCATTTCTCACAACTTGTTCAATGTCTGTTAGTGATGATGTCAAACACTGCTCTGTGCCATTCACAAAAGTGGGGTGTCTGATGGTCTGACTGTCATAGACAGGACACAATGAACACCCTACTAAACA